GGATTTATTTAATAAGATTTATTAATAGCATCCCTTATATTTAGTATTAAGTAGATTTAATTTTCTATAATATAGAGATATTTCTATATATCTATATTAATATTTTTATTTTCTATAGCTATATACTAGAAGATTATAAGTATTATCTATTAATTTTTTATACTAATAGATATATAATATAAGTCTTAATTAGTATAAGTACTTAGCTAGAATATCTCCTTATTAGGAATACTAACTACTAAAGATAAACTAAGAGCTATTACTATATTAAAGTTTCCTTCTATACTAGCTAATCTAGATATATATCTTAGTCTAACTAGATAACTAAGGAACTATATTCTATATTATACTAGAATAGTATAGGTACTTTAAGATTAGAATATTTAATTAATAAAGAAAGGCCTATAGAAAGATAAGGCTAGAAAGATATATATTAAGAAAACTTAATCTAATAAAGTCACTAATAAGAAACTAGAGGCTTTTTAATCTATATAATTATATCTTACTAACCTAGTAATACTTATCTACTAGTATATAGACTAAGACCTCTATATTAATATAGATTCCTTAAAATAATAAGATCATAGTATAATAATTTCATATATATTCTTTAATAATCTAATATTACTATACTTTTAGAGGAATTAGAATTAAGCCTTACTACTAAACTAAGCTTTTATATAACTAATAATATTCTTAAGTAGAATACTATTAGTAGCTAAACTAAATTACTAGCCTACTAAATTAGAAGTTTCTAGACTTATATAAATTCTATATAAAATATAATATATAATTAAAGTATGCCTAAAGACTATTATCTATACTAATTATATAGTTATAATAGATACTACAAAATAAATAAGCTTAACTATATCTTCTACTAATAAGTTAAATCTATAGTTAGTAAGAGCTATATAATATATATAGATATTTACGAACCATATCTTATACTATAAACCTAGTAAAATATATATTATACCTAATATACTATCTAGGCTACTATTATATACTATATATAATCTAACTAATAGTAAAAATCCTCTTACTATTATATATAGTTATGCTTTCTATATAGTTATATCTAATAAAATAATTCTAGCTATTTAAATATCTAAGGACTTTTATAATAAAATTATTAATAATTATACATTAGATATAAAGTAGGGTATAATTATCTAGATACTATAAAAAAAATTTTTTTTGGATATTAGTTTAATTATCTTCTATTTAAAAAATACTCTACTATATATAAATAATAGCATACTATAGCTACTATATATTTTTACTAAAAGAAATACTATATAATATATATAATAAGAATAGATATCCTAATATTAATAAAATAATAGAACTACTCTAAGATATTATATTCCATAAGTTAAAGTACTAGATAGGTTAATATATAAAATACTATCTAGAATATTAGAAAAAGAGTATATATAGATATAAACTATATAGTATATTAGAACTTATACATACTCCAAGTATTCTATTTTATATAAATTATAATTAATATTATTATTATCATACTAAGATATAGGATAGTTTAACACTATTATAAATATAATAGATAAATTTACTAAGTAAATAACTATAATAATAAAAAGAATAGATTAAATAATATAATAATAGGCTTTAAGCTTACTAGCTTTACTAGATAAGGGTAATTAAGATTTACCTAAAGTTATTATATTTAATAGAGATATGAAATTTACTTTAGAACCTTAGTATAAATTCTATAAAGCTTATAAAATAAAGTACTATTTTTTATCTATCTATTATATTTAAATACATAGCTAGAGGAAAAGAATAAATTAAATTATTAAGATATATCTTTAATATATAATTACCTCTCTTAATAATATATACTAATAGCCTTCTATCTTACTATAACTTAAATAAATATTTAACTCCATATATATAATATATTAATTAAGACTATACTATATAAACTAACATATAGTTTTAAATTACTTATTATACTAAATAATAGTATTACTAGTAAGGTTACTTACTCTTTTACTAGCTAAGTATTAGCTATTAAGGTGCTAAGATTTACTATAATTACTTTGAAAAATTAATATAGTAAATAATATGTATTAATTACTTTCTATAAAGATAATAAGTTCTTACTTAAGCTATACATAAGATATAATATATAGTCTATAATAGGCTATAAACTTAGAAATTAATATACTAGACTATTTAAGATAATAAAATATATACATCCTCTTACTTATAAACTAAACTTTTTTAGTAACTAGAGAATATACCCTATAGTATTAATTACTTATCTTAAAAAATATTATATTAATAATCCTATTAAAAGATAACCTACTTAGCCTAGACCTATTAATATAGAATCTAATACTAATACAAAGTTCTAGTTATAGAAACTTAAGAATATAATTAATAAATATAAGATCTTACTAAAGAAAGGTTACTTGAAGAATTAAAAATAACTCTAATATCTAACTAGATAGTTAGGTTAGGGTAATAAGTAGAATTAATAAATATAAGGAAATCTATTAAATAATATTATTAAGCTAGTAGCTAATTTTAAAGCGAAGAGATAGTAAATAGTTTTATTTTAAGTATTACTTATAATATTATTTAATTTTAGTTAGCTATACATATATTTATCTATTCTAATATATACCTTATTTCTTTATTTTATATTACTTATTTTCTAAGTATTTTACTTTTCTATTTGTCATATTAAATATATCTCCTCTTATTTCTTTACACATTTTACTCTTATATCTTTTCCCGTGTTAAGCCTAGTTATATATCTTTTATCTTTCTAGCTATATATCTTTCTATCTAATAATAGTTTAAACTCTAGTAAAGAAGAATAACTAAAGGGATAAGACCCTAGCTAAGAAAATAAAATAAGAAATAAAAGATACTATAATCTAAGAAGTATAGGAGGCATAGTATATACTATTCTAGATTTTATTAGTATCTTTAAGAATAAATATTATTATTTATAAGACATTAATACTAAGCCCTCCTCCTATATATATAAAGTTTAATAATATTAGTATTCTAGTACTACCTATTAGAATTATTACTAAATAGCTATATTAGTTCTTTAATATTTTTTTAATAGGCCTATACACATATCTTTTTAAAGAGTAAAACTAGATTATCCTAATATAAAATATATAATATATCTAGAAAAGTACTACTAAAAGATCTATACTTCTTATTAAATAATTATTTATATATTAAGCTACTTTAAATAGTAATTTAAGGACTAAAAGATATCTTATAAATATTAAAAAAAGTATAATTAGAATATAAGAAATAGATATTTAGTTAGATATTATAGGGAGCCTAATAAGAAGTAGTCTTATTAAGCTATATAAAGCTTCTTATAAGAATTATAATAAATAATTACTTCAGCACTCTGTCTAGTAAGGTACTTAATCTTTTTTATTTTTCTTAATCTAATATAAAGAACTACCTAGTAATGCTATTAGTATAAGAAAGACCTAGAGATCTATTATTACCTAACTAGCTAGAATATTAACTTAAAGATCTTACCACTAATATTATAGATATTATCTAGAAACTAGTACTACTAATAAAGCTAGTAATTCTAACTCTAAGAAAGAGGAAACTTTAAATTAAATATATTAATAATAATAATAATAATAATAATAAATTTAAATCACCTATAATACTATATACTAATAATATTACGGATTTTATAGTATAATTAGTTAAATAATTTATAAAATAGTTAAAGTAGTAACTATAATATTCCTATAATTTTTTTATATTTGATAACTTTCCTAAAAATCCCCCTAAGTGATATTAGCCTAATAATATAAAATATCTTACTAGTAATCTTATAATTAATATAGATAAAAATATTAATATTAGTAAGATTAATAATAATTTTCCTTTTAAAAAACTAGTAATAGTGATTTTATATAAGATTATAAAATAAGATCTTAGTAAATAGCTATTTTATACTAAATAAATAAGATATATACTTATTATAGTAGAGGATTAGTATCTAGTCTAAGTAGTAGATAGTTAAAAAGACTTACTATAAAATAATCTATTAAACTAGAATGTATTAGTAAAAGTCTTAACTACTTTTAAAAAATAAGCACAGTATAAAAAATAGAGGATTAAATAAATATTACATTTTAGTTACTAAATTTTACTTTTCTATTATTAGCTACTAAATTATTATTTAGCCATACCTATATTACTAATAACTTTTTTTCCCTTTTTTTAATCTTACTAGGATATTATTATTATCATACTAAGATATGATAGGTAAGATAGGTAGATAGATACTCTTTTATCTTATAGAAGAAGAGAGAGAATTAACTATATTCCAACATCCTCATATAACCATACCATTGGGTTTACTAATAGATAATAATAATACAAGAGAAGGGGGGTAGTACCTAGATAAGTATAGAAGGTACTAGAGATATATAATATATATAGGTAATAAAATAACTATAATAATAAGGGAATTATAATAATAAAATGTATTTATTAAGTAGTAGTAGTACCAGCTATAGAAGAAGATATTAAAGAAAGTATATATATCTAGGTGCCCTATCCCCTAACCTTATATATATATATATATATATATATTCATATAGCAGTACAGTCTGAATAGGATGGCTACTCATAATGCTATAGTCAGTACTACTTATTAGGAGCCTCTGACATGGCCCAGCTCAGTGCCGAAATGGAGTAAGGAATTAATCAATCAAGATTTGCAAAAGAAACCTGTCAAAACCCACACCATGCCTACTTTGTTCATGATGGACCTATGAAATGATGAAAGCCTACCATATATTTTTGACACCAACACCCTTCTTATAGGACATAGAATTCAAGGGCATCATAAGTCGACTAAGGACACAGTGCCATAACAAATATCTTCGCCCCAGTTAACTCATAAAAAGCATCAGATATGCCGAGACAGGAACTAGTCAAGACCCGATTGCCAGCACCCTGGTCAATCAGACGCTCTCCAGGACCTGCTCCTTGAACTCTCTCTCAACCTTCTGGCCCTTGTCATCGGTCGTAGATTCGCCGTGCAAATTAAGCAGAGCGCCCAAATCGAACTTGGGAGCCTTGAGAAGCTTGACCTTGCGGATGTGGACCTAGCAACAAGTTAATATACTGGGTTAGAGCACCGGGTCCATATCACGCACATTCTGCAAAGGATAGATTCCCTGTGTTGCCTTCTCAATCTCACGTCCGATGACCTCGGGGATGAGCTTGTGGGTCAGCTGCGCGAGAGAGCAGCTGGCAGCCTCCCTTTGCATGATTTCGGTCATCTTCTTCCGAATGGCGCGAATCTGAGACGAGCGAGCATATGTGGTCTTCTTGATCTGGTTCGGCCGTCTCTTGGTGAAGGCGATGGCGAACAGGCGCAGGAGGTAGTCGTCCGTCGTCTTCACAGTGACATTGGCTTCGATCAGCGACTGCCACTTCCGCACAAGGGACCGGAGTTTGTCGGTTGTGAAGTCCAAGCCGTGGAAGTTGGTCAGACAGTTTTTGCCCTGAATTTCATCCACACGGAGCTTCACCTTGCGAAAGGCGTGGTCTTCATCGTTCTGCAGATCGGCGAGAGAGACCTCGAAGATGCGGCCCTTCAGCGAATCATTGGCATTCTTGAGACCGCTGGTTCGGTTGACCAGAGTCTTTCCAACACTTTTATATTGTTAGCAAATGTATACTGATCTCTTCGGCCGGGTTGTTGGGTATTACGCCTGAAACGTACTCTCTGATCTGGAAAGTCGAAGGGGCCTGGCATATCTTAGCATCTGCGAAATATACCACCGGAACTCAACTGACCTTGACAGAGTACTCGTCTTTTCTAGTGAATGGATCAACGGTCCTCTTCTTGACACCCTTCTTGCCCTTGGACAAGCGCTTGTTCCTGTTTAACGATCAGTATCCGAATTCAGGACGCCCCAGACACATAACAAGAAGGCCCGAGAGAATTGCAAATTCGAGGAGGCATACTTTCCAACCGCCATGATTGCGACTCGGGTCTATCTTACAATGCTTGAAGACAGACAGGTATACACACCACGGGCTCTGGTGCTGGGAGTCGTGTCGATAACCACTGTGCTGCAGTGCGGCAGAATGGTAAAATGAATTTGCTGTCCCACAGAAAACTCGGCTAAGCGAGACGTCGGCCCTATCGTATGTATTACATAATATACGCTGCTCCACAGAGTCATGTGACATTTTAAGCCCAAACCCAACTTGACCCCTTCGAAGAGGATTGATAGGTAGTCTAGACTAAACTATTCCGTACTGGTTTGTTCTCATTCTGAAGACTTCCGGAGTTATGTCATCCAAAATTATAGCCGTCCACAGTAATTCAATCCTCGGTGGACTCGAGCAGTCAGTACCATGAACAGAGACCTGCTTTATCCCCCAAATTTCAACTCCAGACAGCCCATTGCCCTGCGGTCGGCATTCAATCCTATCTTTGTAACTACAATCTGTACCATACCTACCTACCTGGACTGCGCATTGCTGCCTTTTAGGGTAGTATACCCTGTGAAATCCTATTACAGCCATCTAAGTCCTAACCACATTCTGGACATAAGGTTTTTTAATGACCTGCCAGATCATCCAATCTACAGTAATGACAGAGAACAAGTGAATCTAATAGTTCCCTCGAGGAAAGTTACTTGAGAACTGGAATATGCTACAGGAATTTTGTCTGTGTACTGGCAGTGATAATAATAGGTAGTAATCAGGACATTTGGTATTCCGGACTCTTTAGAAAAACACCTGGGTTACCTACCGTAGTGATCCATATTAGTGATAACCCCAGATATCCAATAGTAATAAGGTGTATGTGTATAGACTACTACCTACCTATGGAGTACATAAGGTAGTACGGACTACGGAGTATATTAGTATATTACCCCTGGTTGTTCAAACTTCACACATGGACCCACCTGACCTACTTGGACCTATCTACTACTAATGTATGACTATGATGCACATCAATAAGTTTTGAGGTTACTGAGAAAGATTCTTCTACTAATACTAGCCACCTTACTACTATTTCATACCACCACCTGCTGGGCTTCAACTTCCAGGAGTATCTACCTCTTGGCATTTTCTGATACAAAGGACATAGTTATTGACTGTGCCATTCACAGAAAAAGTGGGTTTGGTTTTGTGATATTCAGGAATAAAACCTCATTGCGTTTACACTAATCATCAGTGGCTGCTGGTACTTCCCTTTTTCAATTTACGGAGATAGCGCCCTTAGTTTGAGCACTTATTAAATCAGAAAGCATGGTTTGTGATTTTCTCAGAGAGAAAGTTGTTATTGCAATTCTATACTAACTCTTATCAACAGGGGAAACGCAAGAAGTCCAGTCGTCAGCCACAGCAGCCGAAGAAGGTAATATTCCTCTCTAGTTTAATTTGATCTGTACTGATATCACTCCAGAAAGAGCCACTCCCGACCACTTTTGCCTGCCTCTTTTGCAACCATGAGAATTCTGTCATTGTCAAATTAGATAAAAAACTAGGACTTGGAAATCTTACGTGTAAAGTTTGCGGGCAAAGATTTCAGACCGGCATCAATTGTACGTCTCTTCTCCAGAATTATCACCGATGGAATTACTGCTGATTGTGATATACACCAGATCTATCGGCTGCTGTTGATGTATATTCAGATTGGGTGGATGCATGTGATGCAGTTGCGAAGGACACTGCAAATAGATATGTTGATGGCCACGACAATCACAACGGCGAGGATAATGGCATACGTGGTATCCATTCTCATGAGCATTCTCTTCCTTCCAGTAAATGGGGTGACGGACCTGGGGATGGCGAGGAGATTGCTTCCTATCTTGATGATGAATGATCGATCTTGCTGCAGAAATCATGAGAGGGAGTATACCAGAGCTTCTGGTGGATCATCAACATATCTTTGGGCCTGCATTGAAAAGGAAAAACGAAAGAAAGAGAACCGAGAATAAGAATGGATGGCACACAATGGTTTGACTTGTTCCTTTTTCTGCGAGTATTCATTTTAGTGGTTGATTACATAGTCTTGTGCTGAAAGCTGCTATCGAGGAAGTACATACTTTGCTACTCGTAATAGCGATATAGCCAGCTGCTCGACATGCCCAAATCAATCACTTCGCGTATTCGAAGATGACGCCTACATGAAGTTGATATCTCCTCTCTTAATGAGTAGCAATGGAACAGACTGAGGTCATGATTATGGAGCATAGCCTTAATTAAGCATCCTGTATCGCATAACTTCACAATACAAGGTCTTAGTCAGTCCATATTTCAGATAATCAGCTACTTGTCGACGAAGGGGGTATGATGCGACTATGCCCAGAAAGGCACCTGATCCAGCACTAAGATTGCTTTTCAGTGATTGCGTCTTTCTTCCTCCTTCTTCAATCTCTTCCGACTCTCGTGGGCAATCATGTCGCTTAGATCTTCCTGAAAGTCCCAATTCTGGGGCGTCTCATGGGTTCTATGCGATTCGTAAAGATTCTGAATACGCTCTTTACTGATTCCATCGCTCGTTTGCAATGCATCTGGGTCAACAGATACATCTATATCACCAGGCTTTTTGCGCTTGCGATTTTGGTCGTCAGCGCCAAGCACAGGTAGACCTTCTGGTGGGGCCTTGAGATCATATACTCTGTCAGCCCCGAAGAATCCCTGTACTTGAGTTTGCCTCTCAGGAATGACCTGAAAAGCACTTCGACGGTTCGCGGATTCCTCAGTTTCGGTGCCTCGGTAAGTCTTTCGAACATCAAACTCGCCAGGGATGGTATCGGCCCCAACAAATTCGGACTGAGTCATTGAGGCTATGCCGCTTGGGGTTTCCAGCCCGCTGGGTGTTTGCGACCCAGTTTCTGTGTCTATGTCTTCCTCTTCACTTTCGTCATCACTCTCCTCGCTATCGTCTTCTGAAGGCTCCGGCGCCTGTAGCTCGCCCCAAAAATCTCTCTCAACGGGTTCCCCTTGCTGAGCCGCCTGTTGTGGCTGTAGCACACCAAATATGTCGCCACCATAAAGAGGCCGATTGTGTTCGTCCACTGGTGGCTTTCCATAGCCACCGGGATGGTAACCCCACATGGCACCTGGAGGCGGCGGGGCATTAAGACCAGGTATTCTAAGCGCAGGGTATGACGGAGGTGGCCCATATCGCTGTTGGTTGATTAACCACGGCGGAGGAGCACCCGGCGGCATGTTCAAGGCTTCTTTCAACTCAGGGCTGAGATCACCAGGGCGCAAGTGTTTGAGGTTCGTTTCGTATTCTTTACCCTCATAATATACTTCCCCATACCGGGTCAATTCAGGTTTGGTTTGGAATCTGAAAAAAGCCTCGTAAAGTTTTTGATAGTCAATATCCAACCGCCCCATTTTGGGTTGTACCCTTTCTCGTTGCTTCTGTTTCAAGCTCGCTTGATCCTGTTTTTCCAGAGCAGCATCTCTCATTTCCGAGATTCCGGTCTCCTGAATAAACCTGGGCAATGCAAAAGGGGGCTTTTCGACCCCGCGTTTGGATGACAGATACTCTCTCTTCAACGACCAATGCGGAGGAACAGGGACCACATTTCTATGGGCTTTGATGTGGACGAGAAGGCGAGGATCAGAAGCTGAGGTATCCGTCCAATCGACTATCTCTGGTCTTTTGACCATTGACTTTAGTTCGGCGACGGACAGTTTGCTCAATTCTTTGCGCTTTTTTTTTGACAGCTTAGGTTCGTCTTGTTCTTCGTCTGGAATCTCGTCGTCGTCATCAAAGTAGACTTCCGGTTTTTCAAGCTGGCCAGACCGTTGAATTTCACTCTCAGTGTCATCAAATTTGCCAACAATATCCTTGTACATCCGCCAGAGCATATCACCAGGATCCGGGGATGCGTCCCACGGGGATTTCACGCGGACATCTTCGGTCTCTATTGCGGGTCGCGATGTTGACGTTTCGAATATTTTTCGAGGCGCGTCGATATCTTCTGGAACGGCCTTGCAGGCGTCAGCTCCCAAAAACACCAAGTTCATGGAGTGTTGTAAGCGTACCTTGCCCTTTAATGCCTTTTTTCTTGCCCTTCTGAGCTGATTTTTGCTGGGCTTCATATTAATTGTGTACAAATTCACTTTTCAATAAGATTACTTTTGGTTGAATAGTTTGAAATTGATACACAGTGGTATGTATGGAAATGATATTTTGAGCTTGTTAGTAAAATGGTTTGCTTTATGGTGCCAAAATGCGAAAATATGCATGTTCCTCGGAGAAAGTATGAGTAAGCATATACGGGAGCTATGGTTCATCTACTATGGATGGGCCAAATCGTTGCTTGCCCCAGATAGGAAGACAAATCCCATACTTTAAAACATCCAAGGACATTACATTACCCACAGGAATATCAAAGAATGTTAATCTTTAGAAAATGCATAAAGAAAGCAGGGCGACTGTAGTAATTTCATAGCCAGCTTATGGCATTTATTCATCCTCTAACAAGCTTTGATAATTCCAATGTAAATTGGAATTGAAGAGTAGTTTATTCTTCAGTCCCAGACTTTCCTTTATCAGGCAGTTATGTGTCCTGTTCTATAAGAATATACCTACTCACTTGATCGCAATAGCATAGTGCTTTCAGCCGTCTGTCAGGACTATTACTTAGTTACTCGGTATGTTTTATAAGTTATCTATCTTTTAGGAAGAAGTCGAATGAAGATATGATATGCATTATATGGTATGCCAACTGATGTGCTTGATAAGGTCACTGCCCACGAGCTAGTTAGGTAGTCAGCAACTACAAATTGCTAACTCTGTCACATCTATATACACCCCACCGTGACACAACACACTGTATGTACCCCATTGCATTAATATCTCTTTTGCCAATCGTTCTTAACCTAGCAACTTAGAGTCATACTCCTGGGCTAGGGACAAGTGTGATTCATGATGAGTGAGGGAATTAAACCGACGCCTTCTCCTGCTCAAGGCGTCGGGCCAATATATAGGCCTGAGATCGAAAAACCTACAGCAACAATTTCGAAGGACGTTTCTTATGAGAATGTCCATATTCTACCACAGACCCCTCAATTGATAGCACTCCTGACGTAAGGCAAACTACTGATCATGTAGTCCATTGTCGTCGACCAGTCGACTTCCCCTTTTGGACATCATGATTCGAACGTTATCGTTCATGGTGATTTCACAGGCTAATTGGCCGCAGAATGATCAGGGACAAAGAAACAGCTCGCGCTGATTTCATTTTTTACTCGAACAGAATCATTCGCCTTTTGGTAGAGGAAGGGTTGAACCACTTGCCAGTTGTTGAGCAACCAGTAACAACTCCCGTTGGCCGAAAATACCTCGGTGTTCGGTTTGAAGGGAAAATATGTGGTGTCTCCATCATGAGAGCTGGTGAGGCAATGGAGCAAGGCTTGAGGGACTGTTGCCGCTCCGTTCGCATAGGGAAAATACTAATCCAAAGGGACGAAGAAACCTGCCAGCCAAGGCTGTTCTATGAAAAGCTTCCGACCGACATTGCCAATCGCTGGGTTCTTCTACTCGATCCAATGTTCGCAACAGGTAATTACGCCATGCCAGTGACCTCGTGAAACATCATGTTTCCATTGTTGATACACTATAGGGGGCTCTGCTACGCTTGCCGTCGAGATACTCAAGTCAAAAGGTGTTCCAGAGAATCGTATACTCTTTCTCAATCTCATCGCGAGCCCATCGGGGGTTGCAGATTTCGCAGAACGCTTCCCCAGCCTGAGGGTAGTGACAGCATTCATTGACCAGGGCCTAGATGAGAAAAAGTGGGTTCAAGTATATGCAAACCGATACCCCGTTTATTGACCATATCGGCAGATATATTATTCCAGGCTTGGGTGATTTCGGTGACCGTTATTACACATTGTAAATGGCACGCTGGTCAGTAGCCAACTTTCTTATTGAAGTGTATGTCCTGCACAGGCTATCTAATCGTAGTTGATGGTGATCTGGGTACTGTTGTATCTATGCCAGACTCACATTGGCAATCATAATTCTAGAGCTATTAAGTATTTATTGGTTTATCCAATCCATAAAACCATGTCTAAACTTGATAGTATATGCTTCAGATCTAGATCATCTACGGAGGATCTAATCTATATAGATAAGGGAATCTCCCTGGCTGATGCCAAAACACCCCTACTATTCATTTTTAGTCAGGTGAACACTAAAGATTATATCCAACTACTACCTACTACAGTCTACCCTGGTTATTTCATTGGTATGTTTTTTATTCATAGGCTAAGCAGGGGACCAGGGGTCAGGTAATAAGGTGTGAAAGGATGTACTGTGGTCCACCCCAGTAAATTTGTTAAGTCAGTGGGCCCGGCAGGGGGTATAGGCGCTTAGGGCTTCCACCTTACTGCCTTCCTAATTAGATATGAAGAAATCTTCATATCTTTGAGATCTAGGGAACAGGCCGCGTGAGCTGGGCGGCCAAGCCCCCCAAAGAAACACATCAAAATCTACTCAGATAACCAGAGCGCCCTATGCACACTAAAAAACCCCTAACAGGGGACCAGGCAGTATCTGATCTTGGCAGTAATTAAACTACTTAACTAGCTGCACCCTATGACTAACATATCTTTTTACTAGCTGACAGCATACTATGGGATCCCTAGAAATAGGCTAGCAGACTAATAAGTGAAGGAGGTAATAGCCTAGAGGGAGGATAGCTAGTATAGAGGCCTTACTATAGTTATAATATCTAACTACTCTATATAGGGCCCCCTTGATATATAGATTTACTAACTAATAAGAGACTAATAAGAGACTAATAAGAGAAGTAATAATAATAGTTAAAGTAGGGTATCTCTCTCTACTATATCCTTCTAGAGGTATTAGCCTAGTCCCTAAAAATCTATAATAGCCTGTCTCCTATAGAATATAGTATACTAGTATATATATAGATAGATAAGATTAGCCTAAATTACTATCTTTTAACTATTAATTAGACTAATAATATAGTATACCTATATAGATAGACCCCTAAGATAATCTATTATATATTACTTAGCTATATCTAATATAATAATTTATACTAATAAATATAGGTAGATAGGGCCCCCTAAGATATAATAGAGGCCTTAATAGAGGTAAGGAATACTTACTAGACTATATAATTCATACTAAATACTAGCTAGCTAATATATCTAATAGAAGCCACCTAGTTAGTATAGGCTAAGCTAGATACCCCTAGGAATATCTAACTACTAAGAGTACTAGTAGATAATAATTAATACCCTATTTTTATTATATTCTTATATATTTTCACTCCTAGCAGAGGGTGCTAGCACCTATAGCCCTAACTAATATATATAAGTATACTATATTAGGCTGCTAACTAGTAACTATATAGAGCTATTACCCCCCTAATCCTTATAACTTAAGAACTTATGATTCTAAACTAAATTGGCAGTTACACAGTGGGGCAGGGGTAGGGAGATAGGTGCCTAGGTGGTGGATGAATACTAAGGGATACTAAGGGATTAATAATACTGAGGGATAAAACTATATTAAGGGATGGATGATAATAACAGGGAAAGAAGGATAACAGTACTAATGTTAGGAATGGTGCCAGAGAATAGTTCCACTAAACAAGCCAGGCAAGGCACCAAGGCTGCACCCTAGTAAATAGTAGGGCTAGTCTAGTATGTGATAGTCTAGTGTAAAACCTTACTGGTAAAGGAAGATTCTATAGATTAGTAATTAGTTCTTCTAGTAATAGTAATATAACTCTATAATCTCTTCACACTAATCTATTACTATCTTCTATTAGATATTATACTACTTTTATAGTTCTAATTACTTCCTAAAATCTAATCAGCCTACTAGAATACTATAAGAATACTAAATATCTATAGCTAATCCACTCTAGGACCCCCCCTCTAGTAAATACTAGACTAAAGAACCTAATATAGTAGAGAAATACCTTAAATTACTAAGGAGGTTACTAAGATAATAGAAATAACCCTAGATAGAAGGAGGCAGCCTAAATCCTAAATCTAATAAAGATAGGATAATAGTAAATAAAACCTAAGTAGTTAGGTTAAGAAAGAAGATATCTAACTTCTCCTAGAAGAAGAATACTATCTAGAGCTAGAAATCTAAAGAATAGAAATCTAGTAATAGCTAAATAAGAAATAAGCTTAATTATAGGATTATACCCTAGAAAGTACTAGAGAAACCCTACTACTAAAAAAATAACTTTAGTAGATAAGGATATACCTAAAGTAATAAAAAAAATAATCTATATAGAATAACTAGAGAAATCTATAAATATAAAACTATTTGTAGGTATAATAATATAAGAGTATATCACCTTTATAAACTAAATATAGGCATACTTTAAGGAATATCCTAGCTAGTTTAAATCTAAAAATAATTAGGTATAGGTAGCCTTAGTCTAACTTATAGAAAATTAATATAATAAATAATATATATATAAGGCTAAATTATCTAGACCCTTTTAGTAGGCCAACTTTATAGACTTTTATATATACCTAGTTATGGCCCTGGAATGCCTATATAAGAAGGCTATAGTCTGATTTTATAATACTATTTAAAAACTATAACAAAGTATATAGGAATTTATAACCTACCTAGATGATATTTACTCTTAACTAGCTAAGCTAATACTAGACTTATACTATAAAGATATCCTATACTCCTATATCACCCTAATTATTTAAGCTAAAGTAGTAAAGTTTTCTAATATATTAGAATCTTTAGAAGCCTATATCTCCTACCTAGTTATAATTAAGGATGGCATCCTAGAAAGATAAGAGATATTATAGAAAAAATAATGTAATTAGTTAAAGTAAGCTCTAAAGCTAGAATATTAATACCTATCTAAACTAGAAGACTATAGACTAGGATAGTAAGAATTCTAATATATAAGCTTAATAGAGAATTACTAAAGGAGGGACTCTTTAAAGAAGAAATTTTCCTACTCTTCTAGGAGAGATAAAATAAACTAGGCTTACTAAAAGTATAGATAGCTTAGCTACTAGATATATAAATATACTAAACCCTAGAGAAATAACTAGCTAAAAAACTAGGGCACCCTATACTCTATACTATAGTAATATTAAGAGTTAGAAAGAATTCTAATAGTAGTAAGATACGTATCTACAAATCTTTATTATAGTTAAATAAAATTACTATATATAGAACCCTAATTAATTACAGAGTAGAGAGGATCTTTATAAATTAATAGTAAATAAAAAAATTCTTATTAGAGGTTAAAGAACCCCTATAATTAGTATAAGCTATTAATAGATACTCTATAACTTCCTATAGTTAAATTAAAATTATTAATTCTATAGGAAATACTAGGCCCTAGGAACTAGTCATAGAAGTTATTAATATAGTTAAGTATAACCTAATCTTAGGTATGGACTGGCTAAAAGCTACTAATCTAAATATTAAGTAGAAAAAACTCTTCTAGTACTATTATAATAGGGATTCTAAGAAAAAAGAACCTAATATTAAGATGATATTAGTAGTAGAGGCTATGAATAAATTAAAAAAAGATATATTCCTATATACCTTAGTTATTACTCCTAAAGGAATAAAAAAATCCTTAAGGTTACTAGTAACCTAGGAGGGCTTAGGATCTAAGGAGGTACTACCCCTAGAATATAAAGAATATTAAGATATATTTAGTATAGAGTAAGCAGAAATTCTATTATAAAATACTATATATAATTATATAATAGAGCTTAAGGAGAGTAAATAACCCTTATATAAGCTATTATACTTACTATCTTAGGAAGAACTCCTGATCCTTTAGAAATATATCAAAGAATATCTACAGAGAGGATAGATTAGGCCATCCAAAAGCCCTATAAATACTCTGATTTTATTTATACCTAAGAAGGATAGTAGACTATAACTATATATTAATTACTATAGATTAAATAAAATTACTATAAAAAACTATTACCTATGATTACTAATAAGTAAGTTAATAAATTAGCTAGCTGGTGTATAGATTTATACAAAGCTAGATCTTTATAATATTTATTATAGAATCTATATTTAGAAAGGAGATAAATAGAAAACCATATTTTATATAAGATATGGATATTTTAAATATACTATAATACTATTTAGCCTAGCTAATGCACTAGTAATATTCTAATTATATATTAATTAAGCCCTAAGTAATCTGCTAGACACCTACTATATAGTATATCTAGATGATATTATGATTTATTCTAATAATATAGAAGAATATATATAATATGTCTGTGAAGTACTAGCTAGACTCTAAAAATATAGACTCTATACTAAGAGGAGTAAGTATAAATTCTATACTATAGAAATAAATTTCCTAGGCTTTATAGTAAGAATAGAATGTATAAAAATATAATAAGACTATATTATTATAATTATAGAGTAGCTAGAACCTAGAAATATCTATAAAATCTAGTAGTTCCTAGGCTTTACTAATTTCTATTAGAGGTTTATCTCTTATTACTCTAAAATTACTATACCCTTCTCAAACATGATACAAGGGCATAAGAATATAAAAGGGAGAAGCTATAAAGTCTAAGAAGATAGGAGAGAATTCCTTATCCTAGAAGTAAGATATACTTTTTAAGATATAAAATACTACTTTATAAAAGCCTTAGTGCTATACTACTTTAATCTATGCTTAAAACCTAAATTAAGTTAGATACTTTAGGATTTGTGATTACTAGAATCCTAATATAGTAATAAGAAGATAGATAATAGCATCTAGTAGTATACTAGTTATAGAAACTATAAGATATAGAAACCTGCTATAATATATATAATAT